TACGCACCATTGAGCTCCTCAAATAAAGCACCGATGATGTCACCTTGATCGGAGATGAAGCGTTTGCAATCAAATCGCCCAGCTCAGATCAGTGAACAGACCAGCGACCAGAGGTTGTGTACCACTAATCATGGTGAGCTTCGAAATACCGCTTTTCACAGAGATTCCGTCATGTCAGCGAAGTCAGTCAGTGTTCAGAAGTCGCGCAGCACTGTACAGATGTTTCATCATTGGTTGTGTACCACTAATCATGCTGAGCTTCGAAATACCGTTTTTCACAGAGATTCTGTCCTGTCAGCGATGTCAGTCAATGTTCAGAATTCGCGCAGCACTGTACAGATGTTTCATCATCAGAAAACGCAGTTTGGCCACCAGTGGTTTAGTGAGGTCCAATAACAGTGCTGTTTGGCTGTTTGTAACCAAACAGCTTGACCACTAACCGGGAGGTCGCGGGTTCAAAACTATATGAGTTTCGTGACATGGGTAGTTCTGCTGATTCCCAATAAGGGTGAAACATTTGTACAGTGCTTCCCGACCTAAATGACAGGACGAAACCTGTATTGAAGATTGTCGGATCTCCTCACAACCATCAATCAATAGTGAATTCGATTTGGTTGAGGGGAATCTCGCGTAGTTTCCACTTATATGGGTCATCCTGGTATCACCATAATCTTGAATCCTGCTGCAAAAAGTGTTGTTTTCGATCAACAGAATTATCAGTACAGTTTCAAATCATTTCTACAAATGTGCAGACAGAACCTATGGCATGACAAACGCCAAAATGCCCCAGGTAAACGTGAAGTTAAACCCTTGAGAATGTTATCGAATCTTACCCTGAAACACCAGAAGTAAGGTGGGGCCAAAGTGCGCATCAACTCCATCACTTGCGCCGGTTTCCATAGGGATCACCCGATAAACTTAAGCGTTTCAATTTCACATCACAGCATGAATTCAAGTCACAAAGGATGGATTTGATTCATTCCGGAAACAAACGCCTATCTGCAGTGGTTCTGTCACGGGACTAAATGTAAACTAGTTGAACACGTAGCGAGAACCAAACCAGTTGTCCACAGCAGATCACCCGAGACAGATGGAACAGTCGCTACCCAACGGTAACGGACGCCTGAGGTAGCCGAATATCTGACCTTGGCCGAAACGGCGGACTATTTGGAAAGGTCTTAATTCAACTTAGTTTCCCATACATTCGATAAGAGATAATCTGGTGTGATTTTTGTGCCTTGATGGAGCACTGAATACAACCTAGAAGAAAACGAGCAATACAAAATGACAACCAGCGTAGCTGCATTGGAAATCATTTTGACGCTATAGCATGAAGTAGCATGGGATTCAAGGTGTGGAGGTCAGTCCGTTAGTTGGTAGAAATGCCGATAACCCACCTTTGAAAGTTATTCATCCTTTTCAATGTTCACAGTTTTTGCATTTGTGTTCTTCACCATAAGAGAGCGCCGGCAACTGTTTGACGCGTAAGGATGAATTCTAGGGACGTTGTGGGCGTGCATCACAGTCCAATGAAGTGTTCCAGGTTAGGGCAAATGCATTTAGCTTAAGTTAAGATGGGCACAAAATGTGCACTGATGGTTTTTTGGCACAAAATCCGTTCTAAATAAAGTTGATATTGATAAGCGTTCCTGTGTAAGTAAGTCGTTCAACTGTAGCACCCTTTCGGTGCCTAGCTGCCATGCCGCCCCGTGGTTGCACGAGGGCTGGGATACTGTCAGATCGTCCAAGCCTAGACAGGGGAAGTCGAGTGGCAGAGGTCGGGTTCGAACCACGGACCATCCGGTCAGTAACTTCGCGCTCTATCCACTTGGGCCATCCCGTCCTTGTGTACCAGCTGAAACGTATATACTGTCAGAATGGGTGACCCAAATGGCTTTGCCGCAGTAATAAGAAACGTGCTTCGAAAAGTATTGATTGCGGTTATAGTCACGTACCAGTTCTACTCAGATGAGTAGCATAGACTGACCGGCATTCTCGCGGCGAGATGCAGTGTTTGTAATGACATTTTAAAGTCTCCATCCTCTCATCGCTAACCCCTCAGATGTCATCACGCGACTATTTTCCGACTTTTTTCTTCACCGTTTTGTGGCCGCGGTGTCTAGTCTGATAGACGGGAATCTACACAGGTGGGAATCAAACAAACACTCTTAAAAGTGTCATTTATACAGACAACTGAATTAACCTGCGCCGGCCGCACACGCCTCTTAAGACTGTCTGTGTTGCCTATTCTGTGTGGAATTTTGGAGTTTGCGACACTCTTCTTGGGCTACATTGCTCCACTGTTCAGCCGCTCACCACAGTCAACAAACTTCCTAATGTAATACACTCATTTGCAAATAAATTTAGTTTTCACGAGAGACTCAACTGAATCCCTCGTTTATGATATTCCACAACTGAATGTGCTGCATAAAGAGGAAACTCGGGGACTGCGCCTACCTGATGCGCCCAATCGCAGTAACCTTTCACAAGGTTACTGAAAACTCTTCGACGAATAGATCATAAGGTTGACGGAAACTCGGGGATTGCGCCTATCTGATGAGCCCAGAGCAGAAGGGTGAAACCGGTGGTGAGCTGTCGAAGAGTTTTCAGCAACCTTGTGAGTAGTTTCCTTTCTAATTTAATGCTTACAATTTCGTACAACCGCCTTCTCTGTCTAATACAGACCAATTTTGAGTAGTTGTACAACGGTCGAATTTTTTTAATGCCGCGTTAACCTTGGGAATGTCTTCTACACAGCTGTTTGCCCATTCTTTCAACTCCTGCTGTGTAATCCGCACTGCGTTATCCTTCCCGGTGGTAAACGCGTCAGCCAGCAGGCTTGGACATGCTTCCAATGCCTTGTGAAGTCTGCAAAAGTCCATGATGATAGCAATTTTTATGACCCAAAAGAATACTTCTTGAGGTATTTTCAGATCAGACCGGAAACCATTCGTATGCAAGAAGTAATTCGCTGGACGTACGAAAACACGACCCAACTTCCATTGTTTAGGGAAGTGTAAATAGGAGGAAGTGAGTGTCAACGATTTTTCAATGAAAGTAGGATAGAAGTGTATTTTGTAAATTCCTTGGAACCTGTTGAGGCATCCAATGTCTATGTACAGTATTCCACCTGATGTGCGCGGTAAAGGGATTTGTTTACTCTATTTCGTCAGTGGAACAAGTAGTATGTACGGTAGTCCGAAGATAAGAAAAGTGAATTTAGCCCACCAGGACTTACTACGTCGATTAGGAGGGGGTTGCAAATTCCTCTGTGTCATCTTTGATACACAACCAAGAGATGAGCAACACAGTCCTATTGAATCAGACGATGCTTACATTTTCGTGCGAGCATCCCAGGAATATGAGCTGTGCGTTCTCCTCGGTCACCGTTGATGCCACTGGGCTGTTTACGACATCCAGAGTGTTGATCTTCTTGTTTGGAGTCTAATTGCTTCATGGTTACCGGTTTCGTCCCTCACCCCATCGTGCTTTGGTGGGCTTTCCTCTAACGCGCACCATCCCGGATAGACTAACTTAATATACGCTCCGTTTATGGTATTAGAGTAACGGATCGCTCTTTAGAATTTAGGCGTATAAGCTCGGGAGAATAAAAAGCTTTGGGCTATAGGACTGTAAATCCATGATTACGGTGACTGGTCATGAGTAGTTTCTAATTTAATGCTTACAATTTCGTACAACCGCCTTCTCTGTCTAATACAGACCAATTTTGAGTAGTTGTACAACGGTCGAATTTTTTTAATGCCGCGTTAACCTTGGGAATGTCTTCTACACAGCTGTTTGCCCATTCTTTCAACTCCTGCTGTGTAATCCGCACTGCGTTATCCTTCCCGGTGGTAAACGCGTCAGCCAGCAGGCTTGGACATGCTTCCAATGCCTTGTGAAGTCTGCAAAAGTCCATGATGATAGCAATTTTTATGACCCAAAAGAATACTTCTTGAGGTATTGTCAGATCAGACCGGAAACCATTCGTATGCAAGAAGTAATTCGCTGGACGTACGAAAACACGACCCAACTTCCATTGTTTAGGGAAGTGTAAATAGGAGGAAGTGAGTGTCAACGATTTTTCAATGAAAGTAGGATAGAAGTGTATTTTGTAAATTCCTTGGAACCTGTTGAGGCATCCAATGTCTATGTACAGTATTCCACCTGATGTGCGCGGTAAAGGGATTTGTTTACTCTATTTCGTCAGTGGAACAAGTAGTATGTACGGTAGTCCGAAGATAAGAAAAGTGAATTTAGCCCACCAGGACTTACTACGTCGATTAGGAGGGGGTTGCAAATTCCTCTGTGTCATCTTTGATACACAACCAAGAGATGAGCAACACAGTCCTATTGAATCAGACGATGCTTACATTTTCGTGCGAGCATCCCAGGAATATGAGCTGTGCGTTCTCCTCGGTCACCGTTGATGCCACTGGGCTGTTTACGACATCCAGAGTGTTGATCTTCTTGTTTGGAGTCTAATTGCTTCATGGTTACCGGTTTCGTCCCTCACCCCATCGTGCTTTGGTGGGCTTTCCTCTAACGCGCACCATCCCGGATAGACTAACTTAATATACGCTCCGTTTATGGTATTAGAGTAACGGATCGCTCTTTAGAATTTAGGCGTATAAGCTCGGGAGAATAAAAAGCTTTGGGCTATAGGACTGTAAATCCATGATTACGGTGACTGGTCACGTGCAACTTCTAAGTCCAAACTTCGCTGATTTTCCGAATGTCTCTGACTCATCGTACAGAGCCACATGTGGACATCTCTACTGGGCAATCTATTTCGGCATGCTCCTCGGATGTGTCCCTGTTATAACAAGCGCTGTCGAATGATATTGCAAAAGACACGCCGCGTAATTCAATTTTGGGGACATGCCAAGCTAGAACAATCAGTATGAACAAAAAGTGGTAGGGAAGTTTACAAAAGAGCCTACACACATTAGCATATATCTACCTGGTAACAGGGTCTTACATAATCAGAGTGAACTTACATGTTTTGCTAGGCTGAAGAAATTTTTTCGGTCACCAGTGACCAGATTTGACATTCCTAAAAATTCGGGTAGAAAATACAGTGTGCGAGTAAGTAGGCGTCACGATGTTAACAACTTCGGTGAATTCTGTTCTAAATGCTTGATGGGATAACAAAGAATGCGTTCAACTCCCGGATCCTTGACAAAAGAATCTGAAAAACTACGAGTGATTACATCAAAAGAACAGGTAGCAATAGTGGTGCAGTATGGAGGCTTGTCACTTTCAAAGTAGTTTACGAACGGGTGAAGACTGTCTGGAGTCAGTTGATAATCAACCCACAGGTGGGTGAAAAGACACCGATGCAGTGTAGTAAAGTTTGTCTGGGTAGGTTTCACAGACTGTATTAGTATCTAGCAGCATAATTTTCTTTGAAGAGTATGTGACTGAAGGGCTTTACTGATACACAGACTGGCGACCTCGCAGTACAGCTAGCCAGAATCTATATCGACAACCTAACCGGGGTGCAAATGTAGATATGCATTTGCCGCTTTGAAATTCCCCTAGGGTGATGTGGGTTCAATCAATACACACGTCCGGTTTTCAATGGAGGAAAATGTCGGTAGCTCAGGTAGCGTAGATGGTCGTTGGATTGTTCGCTGATCTGGGCGATTTGATTGCAAACGTTTCATCACCAATCGAGGTGACATCGTCAGTGCGTTATTGGGGAGTGTAGTTGTGCGTAGCGGTGGGTTACTGGTTGGACCTTTGTCCTTCCGAGTTCCGGATTGTGACCCTTATTGATTTGACTCCGAGGAGTTCCTTGCTTCTTCGTTTGTGAATCCATTTTTTCGGTCCTCCTTGAGTGTTCCGGTTGAGATGTTGGCCTTTTGCACTAGAGTTGCGTAAACTGAATTCAGTTCGATGCGCCGGTTGATCGAATCTGCCGTGGAGCACCATGCTTCCAGAAATTCTCTTCCGTGCCGCATGTCTCCGTATGTCAAAATTTTCGCGCTCTCCAGATTAAATTTGTGGCCTTCTTGGTCGTCGTGTATGGATATCTAGGACAGGGGGTCATGCCTTCTGACAACCGCATTGTAGTCCTTTATTCGTGGCTACCAGCATGTATATTAATACACACCTAACACTACTCAACGCACAACCACGCTCCCCAATAACGCACTGATGATGTCACCTCGATTGGTGATGAAACGTTTGCAATCAATTTGCCCAGCACACGTCCGGTTTTCAATCCAGAATAACGATATAGTAGAGTTTATTTTGCTCAAGTGTATGGAGTAAAGGTATGAAACAAATCATGGCACTACCAAAACCAGCGAGCTCAGAAACCTTCGGTGAAATCCGTCAAGATCACCCTCCGAGCGAGGACAATTGTCAGACAGATTCCGGCACGGAAATCGACCACGATAAAGAAAAATTTTGACTCAACTTGTACCGCTTCGGACTACACACAGGAAAACTCGCGACAAGCTACACGGATGGATGTGTTTGCCAGAATGACTGAGCGGTGGCCAGGCTTCGCAGAAGCTCAGTATTGATCACCCCTAATAACCATGTACTACTGGCCACATGTTTTGATGTGATAATCAGTGAAGACAAGACGGGAATATCCACTTGTCCGCAAATTATTGCCGTGGTATTCAGAACAGACTAGTAATGGGAAGATAAAAACGATTCTAGGTCATTGTGATTCAGCATCCTGGTAATCGCCTGCTGGATTTTGACCTCACGCACTCCTACGCCATGCGCTCGCAGCCGACCACATCGGCAGCCTCATGAACATAAAACCCGATCGATGCGGTAACCCAAGGCGCAGAGGTTGTCCTGGTTGGTCTAAGGTCAGCGCGCTGAGGTCATTCAAACGTACACTCCATATGAATGGAAACGTGCGACGAAAACGTTGTATGTCATGTGACCTGGAGGTGTGTTTAACTGGATGTCCGGAACGTTGTTTGTTGCACAGAACAAAAGCGAGAGAACAGCCATTCCCACAGAATGGTAACAAATCTTGATGAGCAAGGGACTGCAACAGCGTGTTTATGCTGTTCCCGTTCAACATGCTGCTAAAAACAGAAACGTGCCGGAGATGGATACGATACAGCTATATAACCCTCGGGATTTCTTGGCAGTAAGCATTTAGGGTGAAAATTAATCAACTTGGAATTTTTATTATGAAACCAGCGGACGGAAAATGAACTGTTTTCAAAAATCAGTCTCCTCATCGTGGCGACCAGCTGAAGCACAGAATACCCCCTTCTAGGCTTCAAATCAACACTTTCTATGGGAGCAAAGTCATATTCTATTATAGCGCGACTCTCAGTATTCGGTTTCATCATCATCATCATCGACAGCATAATATCAGTGTTCAACACCGATGCTTCACTGACGTACAGCCATGTTTTATTTGAAAGCCTTATTGTAAAGAAAAGAGTAAAGGTGGACGGGGAAGGGACTTAGTGCTAGCTCATCACAATCATTCCGAGGTGTCTAAACCTCCAGACATTCACTCAGGCAATCTGGATAGAAACTGACAACAAGAACGCCACTGACATCGGTTGGCAGCCATATCTTGTAGTGTCTCCAACCAGGCACAGTGAGGATCACGCGGTCTCCATCCTGGAAGGCGAGTAGCTCCGACAGTACCCAAGCGTTTCGTGATCTCCTTCATACTCCTCTGCCAAGTCAAGTGTTGGCCACTCTGAGTTGGGCATGGAAAACAGCACTCTCGTCGGCAAACGATGGCCAGGCATACACGCAACGCATGTCCCAAACAACACAGCTTCTGGTGCTGGACACATTCTTCAATGGAAGTGCCCATTGAACAACTGAAAACGCGCTTTCCAACTGCCTCATTATGGATTCGCCGACACCAACCCACATGAGCTATGGTATTCGGTCTCCTAAACCACTGAAATGCAGTCGTGTAATTTGCAATTGGAATATCGCTCCGTCTTCGAGGCCGTACCATAATAAATAACCTAGAACTGGACAAGCACTTTATCATTATAAGCGCTGAATATCTCACGAAACTCAGTTTCAAGACTGCGACATTCCGGCCAGTGTCAGAACACATCGTGATTCAGCCACGAGTGGCGGAACAGCTCTCACTCCTCACACTCTCTGACCTTCGTGAAATGCACAATACCCGGCGATTCCCAACAAGGATGATACAGCTGTACAGTGCTTCTCGGCCTTTCAGCATAGATTGGTCTCACAGACAGGATGACGATGCGCCCTGCTGGAGGCATGTTTAGAGTTTCCAGATTTGCCCGTTATTCTTCTTCATTCATCCCTGGTTTGCTGTTTGCATCCTAATTACTCCAAGGAATCACCACTCTGAGTGCGCACGTCACACCATATCCAGTCGGGTCGGCAAGCGCACACAAACTCAAGAAGGTCAGGCACCTCAATTTAGTCTCCGCGAGAGACTCAAGTAGAACATAAGGTTGAAGGAAACTCGGGGACTGCGCCTACCTGATGCGCCCAGAGCAGAAGGGCGGAACAGTCGTGGGCTGTCGAAGATTTTTCAGTAACCTTTTGAGTAGTTTCTTTTATGAAAATTCAGGCACCGTTTTCATGGAATCAAGAATGAAGAATGCTACGGGTTTCATACCAGTACGGAAAGATTATTTCAACGATTGGGCATAACTACACGGTTTTCACTCGCGCAATTTTGAGGGTCTGGTTCGTAATAACATAACGTCGGTTTCTCTGCAACGCCGCAATCAGTGCCACAGTGTATTCTACGCGCAAGCTGATGGTCGATGAGGATTTAGACTTCTTTCTGTTTGTCTACATTAATGTCAACATCGACTGGCCCCGTATAAGTCAGTAAGTGAGAACTACTATTTGGTCATTCAAGGTCAAACGGCTAAGAGTTTAACCACTGGCTGGAAGCTCGTGAGCTCGAAACACTCAGGAGTTTCTTGAGATGCGTAGTGCTGTTGGTTGGGGCGAGATGGCTCGAGTGGTTAGAGCGCGAATTTACTGACTGGAGGGTCCGTGATTCGAATCTGACCTCTGCCTCTCGACTTCCTCTCTCTAGGATTGGGCAACCTGGAAGTATCCCAGCCCTCGTGCTTCCATCGGGTCGCGTGGCAGCTGGACACCGGAAGGGCGTTACAGCTGGACGATTTTTATTTTTTTCGGCTGTTGGTTCATAACAACTTCTCAACTTTTCAGCATAAACTGGTCCCAGTGACAGGACGAAATCTCTTTTTAGCTTCAATACCTCTTGTGCTAAATGTAATTAAGTGAAATATGATAAGACAGCATGTCCCGGTGGCTGTTCGACTAATGATCGTCTAAAGTTGTTTGTTCATCCCGCATTACAAAACGCAGCTGGTAGGAATGTTTTATGTTCAAAATCGAATTTTATAGGAATCGATCCTGATCCCAAATGATCACCGAATTTTACTAAACACGTGAACAATAACCGTAGAAAATCACGATAATTTGCATCAGAACTGTGAGGTTTTTGGTCTACCGAATTCCCAATCCAGGTTCCGCGGTGTATGCAACTCTCTGTGTGTGGGATAGCTTATTGGCGGTAAGATAGCAACACTATCGTTTTTTTGCACATTTCCCACAGCTCCGTGTTTTCATCCTCCGGCCATCTATCACTGTTATGTAACTGTCGATTGTATGCTTGCGAAAAATAATTGTGACACAATCATACCTTTGTAACCGGCACTAGAAATTCTAAGCAATTTTCCTTGCGGATTTCGCGGTCCTGTTAAAAAGCTGCCACTCTCACAGGAAGTAATATCTACGGATCACGTTCCAGTGCATTCGATATTCGAGAGTCAAAGGTATTTTTTATGTTCCCAAGGTGATATGCTTTGTATCACTGCAACAGGTTCACATTTGTACGGCTTTTTCCAATCATTATATACAGATTGGTTTCTTGCGTACGGTAGCCACGTCCAACGAAGTCCATTGTCATCGGTTCACTCATCGACTGTATGTAAAGCGAGAACTGGTTTAATGAAGCAAAACCATTCTGAAATGCGCTCAGGTGCAGTCAAGTCAAGCAACCAATGGAATCGCTCCATCGAACAACTCATCGCGATCAAAGGTCACCCCCTGCCAACAGTACATATATTAACACACGCGCAACAAACCCCCACGCACAACCACTAACCCACCGCTACGCACTACTACGCTCCCCAATAACGCACTGATGATGTCACCTCGATTGGTGATGAAACGTTTTGCCTCAGACCGCCCAGCGCAGAGAAAAAGCCAACGACCACAGTCAAGTAAAATCCAAGCACCCTAGAGAACCATCCTTCGATATATTCCGAATTAATTGCAGCTGAAACCCTTCAAAGCGAAAACCCCTCTACTATGACAACTTCATTCGCCGGTGTTTTTGAGGGATACACTTTCAAAGTTGTTTTTTGGGGGATTGTTCTTTTTCAGGGGAAATGTTTTCCTGTCTGAGGCCAATCTATGCTTAAGAAGACCTTGGAGCAGTGTAAAGGTGTTTCATCCATGTTGAGAGTCATCAACATTGCGAATTTCACGAAACTTCATTAAGGCTCGAACCCGTAACCTCCTTGCTGATAGTTTGAACACAGCCTTTCGATTACATGTGGTCGATCAGTCACATGGTTGGCTCGCATTTGAACGGGATACTGAGCCACTCATCACTCAATCGTGAGACCCTCTAATTCACATGGTCACGTGAGTTGACAGGCGCCTCGAGTGATGAATTTCACACTTCGGGTAACAACAAATCAAATAACAGTATACATTATCAACCAGCAGTTTTATCTACTATATTACTGTCTATTTAGAGTGGGATTGATAATAGTCCAACAGAAGTAGTATTCCTTCAGTTAAGATCAAAGTACATCCTGCTCCCTCGAAGTGCTCAGTTCCCGGCTGGACCCAGGAAGTTTCCGAGGGACTATCCCTTATAGTATTGAATATCAGTGCTTCAATAGATTCAAAAGCAAATAACCAATTAACTACCACTCAATCTAGGAGACCGAATAAATACGATGAAACTTACCGTAAAGTACGTACTTCCCGAGCGGTTTTAGCAGACTGTATGACTTCCCAACATCTTCACCGCTAAGGCAATCAAGGATCACATTGATTCCTTGTGGATAGAGCCTGACAAAGAATCAAAACGCAACAGATTACTACTTTCAGAAGAACAAGAAGTAATTCAGCCTCCATCCCTCACTCACGCCCCCAAAACAATAAGGGTACGGAGAAGAGCCTAATCTGAACCAAGATTTGGTTCAAGTGTAGACACCTAATTCCCCTGTCCATGTCGCGCTTTGGACAGTACGCTTTGTCCTCGTCCTGAGAAACATCTGTGCACAAATTGCTCCACTCCTTATTCAGGTCAATCGGCATTTTTATCGTTATACTAATCCAGACTTTACTGAATATGTCGTGTGAATAATTCTATGACCCCGAAAAAGTAAACATCACTTATTTTGCTGGTTTTGAACAATCTATATGGATCGACGTGTAAAAGTGCAAGGGACCAAATAAGAGGGCACATGTTCTTTCTTTCTGCTTTCATTTCGACAGAAAAGTACATCAAACACCTCATCATTCAACCATTACTCAATGTTGGAGATATTACGACAGTCAGTTGAACCTACCAGTCAAGTGTCCCACAAGAGTATGTTTGATGAACGCCACTAACAACTTGTTGACCATGTAGTGGGACTGAGACAAATACATCATTTTCAATCCAGGCGCACTTTTTTCCAGTACACAGCAAGTGAGCGTGGGTTTCCGTCAAACTTATGAACTATTTGGGGACTGCGCCTACCTGATGAGCCCCAAGAAGGGCGAAACCGGTCGTGAGCTGCCGATGAGTTTTCAGCAACCTAGTGAGTAGTTTCCTTTATGAAAGTATACTGCGATATCTCGAATATCGTGCCAAATGAAACATGAGGCGGCCTCTATGCAGCACATTCCGTTGTGGAACATCATAAACGGGAGATTCAGTTGAGTCTCTCGTGAAAACCAAATTGATTTGCAAATGCGTTTATTTCTCGAAAGTATAACCTCATTGTGGAGCAGAGAATAATCAAAATCACGTTGTCCATACTGTTGGTTTGGCATGAGCTCATCGATCAATTATTAATGTCTGTTGTATCGAGGCATACTTTTTCATAACTGGGGAGCCACTATAGATCATCACGTCCTTTAGAACGGAGGATTCTTGCTAAATTATGGTTGAACTGCTGGCGCTCTTCCACGCATCCTCAAGTTGTTTGGATAAGTCGGTGCGCCTTCCGGTATCCACAGAAAGCCACGTCACTTTAATACAAGCTACATGTCGCCAGGTGTACAGTTATTGGCAAAGCTTTGTGACTCAGTTTTCCTGGTGGAATATGCCCAAACTGCTGCTGTTTACCCATCGTCCTGACTGAGTTGTATCTTCTTCGGCTGTAACGGAGAATCGTTAGCCCTTCAAGGGAACTCGTCAGTAGCTTCTTAGAACTCGGAGCTGCGTGATTCTCGTCTGAACCGTTTGCTTGTGTTCTGGCCACATGGCGGTCCAGACCAAACGACGAAAGCTATGGATTCAGCTTTCAAGGGTAGAAATTTCATGAGTTCTACCTTGCATGTTACTCAAATGAGGGTTCATCAAACATCTGACCGCTTCATCGATCACGGTCCCAGGATCGATCCCATCAGTTCAGCTAGATCAATATGTACTGGTGGTATAGTGATAACAAAATCGTCTCGCATGTTTGTATTTCGAATTCTGGCATGTCTAGTAAGGTAAACTACTGACAAGAATCTGTACGAAGTAATTTTATTCCAGTAATCTCCCTCTCTCTGCAAATCAACCCCCGAATGACTTGCTGTGGCTGAAGGAGCACGGTTCAAATGGAGTGATGTGGTTGGTGACCCCCTATGCTGAAGTTTCTTCGTTGATTTCGCTTGGAGTTTGTTCCTTTTGAACATGACGAAATCTGAAACCCTTCTGTCTGTATCAATGGTCCACAATTTTTGTGTGGTAATTGCAAGCCTATCGGATCATGTCGATTATGAGCTAACAAGTTTATCAGTGAAATGTTGGGGCGAGAAAAGTATATTTTTTTTACTGAACGCCATTCCGTTCTTAAGGGAGCACCGCTGGAAACATGAATGGCTAAGTTTCTTAACACACACGAAACCAACCGCAACGAATGCAACAAATTCTACATTGGACAAACTTGGAGGAAATTATGTACACGAAAAAAGGAATACAATGCGGTTGTCAGGAGGCATGACCCCCTGTCCTTTATAACTATACACGAGGACCAGGAAGGCCACAAATTCAATCTGGAGAGCGCGAAAATTTTGGCATACGGGAAAATTTTGACATACGGAGACATGCGGCACGGAAGAGAATTTCTGGAAGCATGGTGCTCCACGGCAGATTCGATCAACCGGCGCATCGAACTGAATTCAGTTTACGCAACTCTAGTGCAAAAGGCCAACATCTCAACCGGAACACTCAAGGAGGACCGAAAAAATGGATTCACAAACGAAGAAGCAAGGAACTCCTCGGAGTCAAATCAATAAAGGTCACAAGCCGGAACTCGGAAGGACAAAGGTCACTCCAACATCGACCAGACTACGACGGCGAGGGATGCCAAGCTCAAAGGTCACGTGGGCATCGGCGAATGAGGACAGGGGATAACAGAGCAATCAATGGAAAAGCCCGACCGAATAATTAATCACGGTCGAAGGTCATCCCCGGCTCCCAGCGCGTATATTAACACACACGTAATACTACTGAACGCACAACCAGTAACCCACCGCTACGCACAACTACACTCCCCAATAACGCACTGACGATGTCACCTCGATTAATGATGAAACGTTTGCAGTCAAATTGCCCAGCTCAGCAAACAAGCCAACGACCATCTACGCTACCTGAGCTACCGACATTTTCCGCTATAGAAAAACAGATTTCTGCTGTAACTGTGGATGTGTTCAGTAAAATTGGTGCTTGTAGTAAATGACTGCCTAACAGGATGTCTTCAGCTACCCAAATAGGCACCCAGTAAGCAATGTCTCCTGCAAATCGTCAACGGAAATATTGAGCAAGTCAGCATCTCTTGATTGCTAATTTATTGCGCCCACCCACCTGCGTGGACTCCTTGCAGATCACCAGATATTCGGTCCAGTCCACCTCTATAATTTATAAAGAACACAGCCGAATATATTACTGGAGTGACTTATCCCAGTGGTAGAAACTGATCTGCCTGCCTCCGGACTGATAGTAAAGTCTATTGGCAATGGAGTATGAGTCCGCACCGAAGAGGTACAGATGGGCAAATCGGATCAATGTAGCCGTATGACCGCGTATAAGGAGGAAGTATCTCCACCCAGGACTTTTATGCATCAAGGTTTATAACAAGCCCTGAAGGCCAGTGAGCCATTTACGTATAAATGCATCGCATCTGGTATCTGACTCCATCGGGCAAGGTTAGCAGAACACGTTATCAGTCAGCACATGCACGGGACCGTTTTGTGAACTTTCGCAAGTATGTCTTATGATCGTTATAAGGAAAGTAAATATGACCGGAATGAAGGCCGTGTGCGATAAGGACATCCTAGCTGGGGAACGAAAAACACACTCATTTGTAGTTGCCCGATCCCGACACGAATGACCTCAACAACACAAACGATGTTTAAAGTAAACACGGGATACAACTATTCAGCTACTTCGAATGCACTAGCAGTAAATAGGTTTTTCACGATTGCACACCAAAGTTTGTTGATGAAGATCCCACCTTCGACCTATTTTGGTCCCAATGTGAAACTTACTTACTTTTTAATTTCAACCAAGCAGTCTTGATCAGGTGTGAGAAGCACGTCGTACAATCCAGTCAATTTCTCGTGTTTCGCCTTGGATGCCGTACCAATCAGTTTGACATCGGGTATCGTTTTGGCTAGTTGGCCAATGGCGCTGCCCTAGGAAAGGTGAGGAAGATGAAAGGAAGTTGGAAATGATGACAACTTGTTCGAGGATGACTTCGCAACTCTTAGCGAAGTAGTGGTCATTCCAGAAAAGGTTGACGTAGCAGATATTTGGAACTAGAGGGTTGTTTTCTTACTTTTTGAAACATCTTTCAGCTATGACACCCGTTCATGCCTAGCTGCCATGTCACCAGAAGGAAGCATGAAGGCTGGGATACTGCCAGGTTGCCCAAACCAGACAGAAGTTGAGAGGCAGAGGTCGGGTTCGAACCACGGACTTTCCGGTCAGTAGATTCGTACTCTAACCACTTGATCCATCTCAAAGCATGCTCACATTGGTGATATACTTGGCGACAATTTTTGATGTGCGAAGACTTGAAGTTTTCGCCTTTTTAAACTGCTGTGGCGAAAGCTTCAGTGAGAATCCCGTATCACCCGAAATGTGAAGACAACCCCTTTGAGAGGACACGTTTTTAGGAGTTACATCCACCAGTGGGCTAAATTAGTTTGCATTGCCGTCACAGCTACCATACGCCTTTCGAGTTTCATTTGGCTTTCTCATCAGTTGCGGGTGGTAGTGCTGTTGGCTGTCACAAGCGAGTCATCTAGATAGATTTTACGCACACGATGTTTTATTTTACATCGGGCAGGTGGAAAGGATGCTACTTTCTGTATTTGATGCGTTGCCGGAAAGGTTGTCGAAAAGGAAGAAATATACACACGAATTATAAAGTCATCTTCCTCCTGACATTTAAGGAAGGTTGATCTGGATCACAGTCCAAAGTATCATACGTTCTGTGGTGGATGTAATGCCGGCAACCGTTTATCGGTCAAGACTATCAACTCAAAAACACAGGTGAAGAGCATCAAACTACGTCGCGGTACAGCTGCTTGACCGACATTATCTTCCAAATCAGTGAATTAGATCACCGGTTCGACAAGCTTGAAGGTATTTTAACAGTAATGTTCCCACCAGCAGTGGTCAACAGTCACCCCTTATATTAAAAATTTACTTGTCTGTACGGGGGTTCGCCAAGCCCAGTCGATATGCTACTGTCAAGTAGGAATGCAGTGAGATGGTCCTTTCAACCATATCGACCCTGAGCAGTTAGACAGTTTATACCAGTGAATTAGTCTCACGGTGTCCGTCTTATTACAACTAGGCGAAAGACACCGCCCACTCAAATCTAACCATCTTTAACCCAGGTATACCACACAGGTGTTCACCGGCTTTTCCATAGGAACTTTATCTCCTGTTACGACCGGTTAGACGCTGCACCAACTACTTTCTCCTTTATTTTCTTGTGTTCCTTTTGTCGGATGTTTGACTAATTTTGTAAACTTTCACAGGAATCCGCGTAGCACAGCCCAACAGTATTGATCTGCAGACATTACAAACACACAAAGACTGAAAACTGTAACACGTCTTTTGACTATGGTAATTAAATTCGGTGAGTTTCGCTGCACGTTAGCACAATGTAATGCGCCAGCGATAACTGTGTCCCAAACTGGTTGCCAAGGCAGAGGAATATTTTGTGAAATTTACAGTACTGACACTGGTTAGCGCAACACTCTTTAGAGAATTTATTTGACTTCAGACTATAATTCACCTCAAAAACGTATTTGTTCCGCTGCATAGATTTTCGGTTTTGCTGAGCTAATACCATTGTCATGGATGTTGAGGTTCGCCATAAGTTTCTCCCTTCATTGATCATTCTTTATAAGCATTAGCTTGGGTACACATCGCATATGGCTGAGTAAGAAAGAAAAAATCGTTCAGCTGTAGCACTTTTTCGGTGCCCAGATCCCATTAAACCCGAAGGTTGCAGGAGGGCTGGGATACTGCCAGCCAGGTTGCCCAAGCCTAGACAGGGGAGTCGGGAGGCAGAGGTCGGGTTCGAACCAGGGACATTCCGGTCAGTAAGTTCGCGCCCTAACCACTTGGACCATCTCGCCCCTGAGTAAGAAAGGCCCGGTAAGTGTTCGGCAACCTTGTGAGCAGTATCCTTCAGGGGACTGTACTGCATATTTTGAATATGATAACAAATGAGACTTGATACGGCCTTTATGCAGTACATTCGGTCGAGGAATATCAAGAAGGAGAGCTCAAGTTAGGAATGAGTTGAGCTTAACTGGTGTGAAAATGACTGTATTTCACCTTGTGAGGTCGTTGCTACGCTGACTACCAGTGTACAGTGACATTGTCCTGTGTTAAACGTGTTGCGTTTTTTTTCACAACACAGTTTATGCACCTCACCGGTTTGAGAATTGCATACAGTGGTTCGAATTTCACCGGAGAAACATGGGAATAACCCATAAAATAACTTGAAGTTCTTCAAGTTATATCTTTTGAATTAGATTGGCATCTATCTTCCTCCTAAGAGTACATTCTCTATTTTCGGCCTATATATTCACTGTTACAACTGTTACGGGCCCGCCCTTAAAGCAGGCTAAAGCTAGAAATTGCACAACTGAAAGCTCAGATAAGAATAATCTGTTCTTCTTGGAATAGGGCTTCAATGCTTTCAAGTGGTGTCTCCAGTCAGTCAGTCACTGCCCTGTACTTTTGGCAGGAATACAAACTCGTATCCTAAAGTTGTTTCCAGATATACGCAATAATCTGGTTTATCTCAAGCGGTGAACTGGTTGGAAGTATTTGGAAGCTGTCCATGGTACTCACGAGGCCCACAAGCAGCGAAAAACCCATGAGACTTTGTGAATGGGGCTTGCTTGATCAGAGTTGCCCATTTCACAAGTACACGGATCTGTACTAACAAAGCCAACAGGAAACTACTCACAAGGTTGCTGAAAACTCTTCGACAGCCCACGACCGGTTCCGCCCTTCTGCTCTGGGCTCATCAGGTAGGCGCGCAGTCCCCGAGTTTCCGTCAACCTTATGTTCTACTCGAACCCAAATTGGACTGTTTTTGAGAAATACACTCATTTGCTAATCAGTTTAGTGAGTAGTTTCCTTTATAAAATTGTACTGCGATATCTCGAATATTGTGCCAACTGAATTATGAAACGGCCCGTGTGCAGCACATTCAGCTGGAGGACATCATAAACGACAGATTCAACTGAGTCTCTCGTGAAAACCAAATTGACTAATAACCTATTTAGTTGACCCTAAAGTCACCGTCAGACAACTTACAACGCCTCCACCCGCCGAATGAACGAGGACCACGTCTCCAGGTGAAACATTGGCCACTTTGTGTAGCAGAAAGTAGGCCGGCAAGTAGGCAAACGGCAAGATGGCAGCTTCCGCCGCGGACAACGAAGAAGGCCAGGGTAAAACGATCGTGGATTCTGCGAATTCCTTGGTTGGTTTTTCAGCTCCCTCGGCTTTGACTTCCTTCTCGACCGGGATGATAATCTTTTCCGCCCAAGCCCCGGACTCCAGTATGACTACGACGCGATCGCCGACCTGTTGGTTGGGTTTATAACATAGTCGTAGACAAAGTACCAGACCAACAGTATGAATGACATCCTCTTAACGTTTACGAACAGGCAAAAGAACATGATTTCGGAAGCTTTATCCACGCTGTGTTAATCAACCCTGACTTGAACAGCAGTTTGTTTGGGTTCTTCACACGTCTCCAGCCAAATAACAAACACAGCTTGCAAGGGTCTCCCTAGGTACCGAGTGCTGGAACCTTGAGCAGGTGTTCTCGAAGTCGTATATTAACAGTTCTTACAGAGACTTGTCCAGTTGGAAGGGTTTGTATGTGAGCGACATTTGTCCATTATTGAGTAACAGAAACTATGACCTTGATGGGACCGAGTTTCTCAGGTTTCGTTCAAACTTAAAACGCGAACCAGAATAAAACCAAACACTAGAAAGATTGAAGTGGCTTGCTTTATGTCAAAGACCTATTTAATAAATTAATCACCTACATTCCAAGTGTCTTCTCTGTTGACAAACAAGAAGTACATTTTCGGGGCTCCCGGCAAGTTCAAATGTCAACTATTCATCAAAAAACTTGTAGGTTGTCCGCGGATAGTTACCAGAGGGTTTGTGCCAGTTCAGCGTGAAAGAAACAGCGAACTGACTGAACTATGAACTGATTCATGCAACAGACATTCACTTGTGTATCCAAACGTAAGTTTGCGTGCACCAGAGGGTCCAAAGTTCCACTGTCACACTGAATTTCTTTGCTCGAATCATGTTGTACGTAGCAGGTTTTTTCTGGGGTGTAAACAAATTGTGAATCTGTTAGATCTGCTGGTTCGTCGACCTGTGGTATCTGCTGTTAACCCGCTCCAGTGCCTGGTGCCGGGGAAAGAAAGCTCACAGAAGGGAACACAACCGCTATATTCCGAACAAGCGAGTTCGAGTGCAAAAGTTACAACGGCCCCACACTATTTAAAGGGGACTTTCTGACATTGATCCAGGCTGTTTGATAGGCGTTAGTGAACACCCATCAACATCGATCGTGCCTCTATGAAATGCCTGAGCGCTGATCACATTCGGTCGTGCTTCTGTGGCGTGCAAGAACACTCATCAGCTTTTGCTGAATTGATTGAATGATTGACTGGTCTGGATGCTTATCGGCTTTCCCGTTGAGATTTTGGTGGAGCAGTAGGTTCCGGGTGTTCTGAGGTTACTTTCAGGAACCTGACCTCCTGATAGAACCCGTTTTCTTGTTCGAATGGCCAGTCAACTAACCCGTTTGGCGTCTTTGTTGTGGATCGCCGAAATAAATATGAAAAAGTGCAAGTACAAGGTCATGGAAATAGCGTTTTAAAACGTTTATTGATTTTTTATCCACCATGAACCCTACATGCATATCCAAGCCACTTTCCCGTTGATTGTGAACAAATGCCAGTGTGAGTATAAACGGACTGTGTCAGTAAGTACTAAGCTTTGAGAACCAGTTTTGTGTGGATAGAGCGATCGTGACTTACTCTGTATGTGGTGACATCTTCACCGACGGCTGACACAGTTCCCGCACATTCAGCTCCCAAGACGAATGGAGGTTTAGTCGTCTGATCGATCAGGCCTTGGCGGACCATAATATCCAAGAAATTCATTCCACTGAGGGGGAGGGAGAGTGAAACCAAATGGGCTGCTCAAAGAACGAAACGTCATATCAGAAATCAGGAACAGAGATAGCCGGTTCGGTGTTGACCGGGGGATAACGTCCACAGATCTTTTTCATGTGATATACATCGACAGAAAGCCCCATAGAGTTTGCCTGTATATCGTTCTGGATATATGATTCTGTAATTGAAGTCAGTCTGTACTGGAAGGCCGAAAATGATCAAGACGAGTGGCGGCGCTATATTCTGTCTAAGTGCGAGTTAATTACACTGCTGATCTGCCGCTCTTGGCCGAGTGATTAGGTGTTCAAACTATCAGCTCAGGGTTCGAGAATCATCTTAGTTTCATGACCAATTATTCCTCAAAGGGACGAAACATCTGTACAGCTCTTCAGCATAGATTAACCTGAATGAAAGGACTGCATCGTTTTTTTAACATTGCCAAACCCCCTCACATTACCGAAAGTGCTAGCCTGTTCACAAAAGGAAGGTCGAGTTAATTCTCTTTTTGCTCGACAATCTGTCCCGAAGGAGAAATCAGTAGGCTGGAATTATCTTTGTCAAATAACTTGATGCCAATTTATCGAACGGAACAGTGCGAACTGACAGCCAGCTCGAAAATTATGGATTGTTTTTTTGATCAGGCTAAAACGGTTGGGTTTTCTTCAGACAACCACATAGATTTTGCCTTTAGGTTCATCCGAGATCCTACACTGCCAGGTGGGGCAGCTTGGTGGTTGCCCGACAAACGACAAAATGTATAATCCCTTGAGATTTAAACACAAAATTTCGTACCAGTTCATCAAATTAGGAACAATCGAAACATGCAGAGTTATTGCGTTGGAACACTCGTACAACGATGTGGAGTTTCTCTGAATATGACAGCTGTTTTGTGTGGGTGAGTCAACATGAGATGACATTTGATTTGATGTTTCCCCTCCACTACAGTTATATTCCAGGACCCTCCTGGAACAATGGGGGACTTCTGCGGCCACATTTAATGTTGCACTTCAGGACTCTGTCGTTTTGTAGTTACATCTTACTCACCGCTGGACCAATGTTGGAAAGCGGGTCTCACTGCTATCTGCAAAAGAAAGGCATTCTAAAACAGAATGAGTCACGTGTCTAGCGTATCTACTTTTTGACTTTCTCGTTCCTTTATCGTTCGGATCATCGGAATTCCACTTAGGCGAAGCACCAACGTATGGAATTCCGGGAAGTCAGGAAGACAGTGAGCCTGGACGATCAGACGGATTCAGCAGACTAACAGAGTCACTTCTGAGGTGGGGAAGTCTGAAACCGGGTTTCTAGACAATATATCGACCTAAGGTAATCATTCTTGAGTGATCACTGCCGCAATTTTCAACATGTTGACACGCTTCCCAATATCTCATTCATCTTGCTGAAACTTTCACATTATTTGGAAGGCTCAGAACATCCACAGTTTTTTCTTCTTGGCACCCCCTCGCAGATAATGGCCAGCAGATACGACGGGACGCACAGAAGCTGGTGAAATTACTGACGTGAAATCCAATCTAACCTCAGTGCAGCTCACTTCCGGCTATTATCTGTGGCAGTGGATGAGTTCCGGCAACAGTCACTTTTCTACCTAAGGCCATCACAGAATTAGTAGGATTCAACAAACGTGTGGTCACGAAAGGGGATTGGTTAACCAACATGCCCACGAGCCACGAGATTTTCCCTGGGGGAAACTTCACCCCATTTTTTCCAGCGATGGTTCGTCCTCAAGGTTGTGCATTCCACAGTCTCTTCCAGGCTGAACATGGTCATTAGGAGTGAAACAATTTGTGCTGAGAGAATTCCAGTAAGACCGTTCAGTGGTACGTTTTGAAACACAATTTCTGCGCTGATATTTTCTGTTTGCGGGGCAAGTGAAGGAAAGTGGGACCGTCACGACATATCCAAAGAACTTCAGCCCAAAACGACCTTTTTCAGAGATGTCGCTCCCCGAATATACTGTTTTTAGTCTTGACAAGAATACGGGTGACTCGAGATTAGTCCATTTAGTTGTGTGATATTTTATTTCAACTTTTTTCAACCTCGCCACTCAATTCAGGTACAATTTATAACACCCCGATAGGACCCAAAACATGTGAAGGAATAGCAAAAATGCTTCAGGAGAATTTCGCACTTCATTTCCTCTTTTTTTGTCGACTGGAATTAAAAATTGCGTTTCGGCAAACCTGACTTGACATAAAGAGTGATACATGTGTCCGAAACATGTAACTGAAGTGGTTGTAAAATCCACAGCATCTAGCTCACATAAATGAAATCAATTAGAAATGTGCGAGGCATAAAAGGAAACCTTTAGTTTTTGGCAATTCATTGAATTGTGCAAAGTGTACAAGATTCCTAGCTGAAAGTTCGCGCATCGGTATGCAGTGAGGGCTGAAAGCGATCGATCACAGAGTTGGCAAATTCCCGTCTTCAGGTTCATCCAAGTGAATTGGATGAAGTGAATGAAACTTTGATTTTCACGAGAGACTCAACTGAACCTCTCGTTTATGATATTCTGAATGTGCTGCACACACGCCGCCTCATGATTTGATTGGCACGGTATTCGAGATATCGCAGTATATTTTCATAAAGGAAACTATTCACAAGGTTGCTGAAAACTCTTCGACAGCCCAAGACCGGTTTCGCCCTTCTGCTCTGGGCTCATCGGGTGGGCTCATTCTCCGAGTTTCCGTCAACCTTATGTTCTACTTGAACACAAGTTGGACTGTTTTTTAGAAATACACTCATCTGCAAATAAATTTGGTTTTCACAATAGATGCAACTGAATCTCTCATGTATGATATTCCCTTACGATATCTCGAATATCGTGCCAACTTAATCATGAGGCGGTCTGTGTGCAGTGCATTCAGTTGTAGAATATCATAAACGAGAGATTCAGTCGAGTCTCTCGTGAAAACCAAATTGATTTACAAATGAGTGTTTTTCTCGAAAACAGTCCAATTTGCGTTCAAGTGAAACATAAGGTTGACGGAAACTCGGGGACCGCTGGCCTACCTGATAAGCCCAGAGCAGAAGGGCGAAACCGGTCTTGGGCTGTCGAAGAGTTTCCAGCAACCTAAACCGGTCTGGGCTGTCGAAGAGTTTTCAGCAACCTTGTGAGTAGTTTCTTTTATGAATGAAACTTTAATCATGTCACTCCGCTTCTTCCGGGTTTCCGACTCATCGGTCGCAGGGCTCCTAATTACCTATAAGGTGGAAACGGCCCTCTATTGAACGATGGAACTCGATTTATTAGCCAGTCATTCATAAAACTAGATGTCGTTTTCCGAAGTTCTTTGGGGGGGGGGTCAAAATTTATCTCACATCTTAGGGTGCTTCGGGTTCACAACTCGACAGAGCTTAAAAAGAAATCGATATTTCGATCGATTCACCACTTGTTCTCCCAACACCTCAGACATCTCTCACCAGCAAATTCATTTCCACGAGGTGAGCGGTGGAATTATGGGCCCAAGTGGTATTGGCTGAAACGATCCTTCGTCAAGTTCATGAATGAAGTAAAATCTGTCCTAGAGGGGTAAACTTTCGCCTAACCTCTTAGAGAGTGAATGGTTCCACCGTAACTCGGGTAATTTCACCTCAAAAAAGGCTTTGCAATCGAAAGTCTTCTCGGATTAAAAGCGACATACGTGTGGCGTAATGTGGTCAGTTTGAAATGCATGCCATGGCAGTGGTTCAAAAGAGACGTATTTAAACAAATCTACTAGTAGTCGCAAACTAAAAATATATGGTTACCGGTCACTGGTCTCTATAGACGTTTCTCTTAATACAAATTCTTCCAAGTATTGGGAAAGCATCAGTCTCCTTGTATAGTTTTCGTGGAATCAAGGGAGTGAGGAATCCTGGTATGGAAAGAGCGACGCGCCGGTCGATATTGAGGTTTCACCAGACTGACCTCACGTGTACCAAAGTAAGCGTGCCAAACACTGCAGGTATGATTCCAGAAGGGTACGGTAGTTATACCCCGTTGTCATCAGTGATGATGATGATGATGTGCTTACAGGAACTCCGACTGTTTCAAAAAGAATTAACTATCAGCTAAAACGGAAGGACAAACTGATTCCATCTGCCTCCTTATCTTTGTCGCATAGTAGTTAATCAGCGACCCTTTCCGGGAAAAGAATAAGTGGGCAGCCCGGAGAATTCGCGTTATGGCATTTAATTTACAATCAAAATACAAACGGGATGATAAACTTATCAGGGACTGAATTGGCTCGCTTTTTCCCACCATGTCCTCGAAAAACAAGCCACTATGTAAACATCGGTTGTCTGTAACCACTTGTTGCAACATCAGATTGGGTGTTCCAGGGTAGTATCGATCGAGTCGGCAAGATTTCAGACAATAACGATTTGGTAGGAAAATGGCGAATCGGTGTATACTCGGATAAATATTCGCTTGTAAGTAAACACAGAAGAACGATTCATCAACACAGTCTGGATTCGGCATTTTCCACGACGGAACCAGAATGATGGGAAGGATATGGGATGTAAAGAATCGATAGACATCGTGTAGAAAGTTGTACAAAGAATGCGCAGTTATTTGAATTTCGAACCTGAATTTCGAAACTGTTTTGAACAAGCGCCGTAGAGTCCAGCAAAGTACGATTCACGGTAGATTGAAGATTGAACTTCATTCGACAAAGTGCTTGGTCATATTACCATTGGGGATTTAGAGTAGCGACAGACGCGAATCAATCAAGAACCACATTTTCTGATGGATGCTGGTATATAAATTTGTTCTACCAAGGACGAAAAACCCCATACATCATAGGATTTTTGGGATCCGTGGAAAACCCTCCTTACTTGTTGGCTGTTTTCGACATTAGTGGCTAACATAGAATTACGCTAGACACAAGGTACTCGTTTATATGCACGCTCACTGAGGGGTCAGTCTTTTTCATATCAAGTTATCCTCCAGACTTTTTATGACGGCGGTTTTGACGTGGTCTCGTCAGATCA